CAATAAAATCATCACATTTTAAAGCCATTCATTGGTCACATTACTACACTTAGTCACGGGAGGGGTGCGAATAACAATTCCCTAATTTTATCCTGTACTATATTTCCACACTTGTATGCTTTTTACCCTGGAGGTTTCTAGGACCTCAATTAGGTCCCGTGTAATGAGTTAGGGCAATAAATAAATAAAATTTATACATTAAGCTTCAAGCCTGCATTTTTTATGTTCAAGCTGAATATAAACTTGGCTCATTCAGAACTTTAGATTAAACAAATGTTTAATAAATTTCTTAATAAAGTGTCTCCTACATGTCCTTTTTTTAATATAATGTTATTTTTTTATAATTACAAATATAATGTTTGCTTTTTATAAATAAAATATAAATATCATTCATTAACAGTTTGAAAAGGCTTGTGACTTTTTATGGGACTCAAAGCTCCAGAATCAGATTGAAATGTTCAGGACCAATAAACATCATTAATGTCCTATTGCTGATGATATTTGTGGAGATTGATTATTTAATTTATTCTAAGGATTTTAAATATTATAAAAATAGGTTTTCTAGAAAATTTAAACTAATTAAAAAAGAATTGACAAAATAGATGCAATAAATAAACTTTGATTCTTCAACAATTAGGAGGTAGATGGTGGTTTTGTTGTTATTGCTGTAGTATTTTCTTCTCCTGTTGATATAGCTTCAATTGTATCTGTTGAGATATTTGTAGTAGTTCCATTATTGTTAGACTCTTTTGTATTCTTCATAAATTTATTATTTAATGATTCAATATATGGTTGTGGAAAAACTATCCAATTTTCCCAAACACCAAGAATTGTTATAACTTGTCTCTATTCATCATTAACAATTATAACAATTATTATTATGTTTTACTATCAAGTTTTTTAAAAGGTTTCAGAATTCACCCCCAAAAAAATAATTACCCTGAATGTCTCAGCTTTTAATCTTGCAGTTATTGATCTGTATATTTCATTTAAATGTTCAAATATTTCTGGCAATCTGCTCTCAAACCTAATAATCATTTATGATTACTTAATTGGTAAAATACATAATAAACAACACCAAACCAATATATATCTACCCAGTTCGAAACTTCCATGCATTAGGAATAGAAACACTACTATTGTGTAAAATGTCTGATACTAAGTATAATCTTGCAACTTTTGTTGAAATTGGTGTTTCTTTGATGGTAAGTGTTTTAAAGATAATTTCTACAATCTAAAAAAAAATTTTGTTAATCTATTTTTAATATTTTTGATAAAATACACAAAATATAAACCTCATCAGCAGCATCTGAATGATCAATAGAAAATGCCATAGTTTTTGCTATAGCACCACGATTAAATGTTAACTTTCTAAGCATTGCTTCTAATCTGTGTTTAGCTTTAGGACCAAGTGTACCTTTTGGTACACGTTCTCTTTCATGCTCATCATCCTCATCAGAATCTAATGTTTCATTAGTTGCCTATTTCAAAAAAAAGGTATAAATTAATTATAATTATTACAATAAAGATTTGAAAGAAAGATTTTAACATGATAGAATATGATACAAACAACTTCATCAAATGGAATTTCTGGAGGAACCCATATAGGACCTTCATCAAACATATGAAAAGCTTCAGTATTCCACCTATTTTTTTGATCTCCTTGAAGGATTGAATATAATTTCCATCTGTAATACACATGCTCAAGTGACTATATTTGAAATTTTTTTTTTTTTAATTAGTATGTTAATATAAGTAAGTAGTGTAAATGATGGCACAGGATTAGATTAAAATCTTACATCGTTTTGGAATAAAAATGAAAATTTTGGATTATTCCATTCACGATCCATAATTATAGCTTCAAATGGTGGCCCATATTTCACAACTCTTTCAACCATACGGTGTATTATCTTGACTATTTGATGAGCTTCTGGTTTGTTGACTTGTACTTCAAGTCTAGGAACTTTTGATGTAGCCTATTAAAATAATAACAATTATTATTATTACTGATTATAATGATTAACAATTATCCTATTCTTAACAGGTAACATACATACACTATTTGAATTTGGTGGCGGAATGTTGCAATCCAAAAAAGGAAACAAAATGGTTGTAAAGGTGGTTGCAACCAGTGGTTGCAATCGTTTTTATATGATGCAAAGATGGTAGCAACCATCATCAAAAGTTGCAGCCGGTATCCTTATTATTTATAAAAAAGAAAATAACATGATGATATTTCAATTGTTTGAAACAATGAGTAAGCATTCTTTTAGCTTGCTGTGCCACTAATTTTTGTTAGTGGGTAGAGAGGCCCTACTTTGTCATTGCCATCTATAACTAGAGAGAGCATTCAATTGCTGCATAGGACATGAAGCTCATATAAAGACTTTTTACTGGCTATCAATCATTGTGTATTTAGCAATGAGTGTTCAAATTCATATTATTCTAATTTTTGCTGGTTGGTCAAAAAAAGGAGGCCTAATAGCTGACCGATTAGATGGAGTTGAATTGGTAGCAATATCTACTGAGTAGACAACGTTGAAATGGGAGGCACCCTGGTCTCCAAGTAGATAATTGAAAGGTAGCTCAGGTCCATTGAGCACCAAGTAGAACCAGCTATATGAATAATATGAAGAATGACTATATTATTAAAATCTGATTATAGTTCTTTCTTTATCATTTTTTAAGAAAAAGAGCAGCTTTAATTGATTTGTATAATTGAATTTATTTAGGAAAGAAAAAAACATCCTTCTATATTCAAAAAAACCTGGGATGAAATAAACATTCATCTATCAGCAAAAAAATTTATAAATGAATATAATAAACAGGAAAAAAAGGAATTTATGAAACATAGAAGTTTTGATGATGATGAATATGAGCCTATTGCAACTATAGAGGTAAAAAAATTATTTCATTTTATTATTTATATGTATATACACACACTAATACTTACTATATAACCAACCTAGTACAATGATTTTTTTGAAAGCCGTGTTAACGTATCAAAAGGGAGGCAAGTGTTTTTATTTTCTATTCATCATGATGTCATGGTTACCTTTTTATTTTCATCATCACTTTCATGATATATTTTTTTTAATTTTTTTTAGAGAATGATGATGACTTACTTCGAGTAGATAAAATAAACGACAATAATGATGTTACTTTAATAAAAACGTCAATTGTGCAATATGACAACAAATGAACTGATCGAAACTATTAACAAGATTTTACCAGGGAGCGCGCAGTGAGCTTTATGAAATTTTTAAATTTGATATATTAATTAAATATTAATTAATTGCTTTTGCTACTTTTTAATTTGGCCAAGACATCTCTGGTTCACACCTTTCAATCCTGTGTATTCTCAAATCACGGATTGATCAATTTTTATTATACAAGAAAAGCCGAAACCCAAAATCTCAAGAAGGCACTCTGTCGTAGCTACACGTATACTTGACCAGGCGCAAACATATTTTCATCAATGTTGACAGTTTTGTGAGATAATATTAATCCTTGGGTTTTATGCACGATAAGTGCGAATGCATTATTCAGAGGAAATTGTTGCCTAGGTGCAGGACTTCCATTGATATTAAAGCAAATGGTTTCTTTTTGCACAGTCATCTTGTGGTATCGCAGGTTGTCAGAAAGGTTACTTCAACATTTTGAGGATCAGTCATTTTGATTATCACGCCGATTGTCCCACTGCAAATTCCATGATCAAACAACTTGTTGTTGAGGATCATCACTTTTGCACCTTCTTGAAAAATGACATGCTTGGGGAAGTTTATATATCGGTTGAAGTGAAAATCTTCGCTTTGATTCTGATTGAGGATGTACAAATCAGCAATTAGTTCACTAGTTAATTATTATCTACATGAAACTATGTTTAATTTTTTTGGCATAAAAGTTTGAGATTTAATTTAGATTATTAATTGATTATTATCATAAATAATGAGAGCAAAAAAACTTTAGTCATAATTACGATTGATTGATTCAAAAAAATTAATTCAAATTGCGGGTTAGTAAAAATGCGTCCTTTAATTTTTTTTTCAATTTTGCATGAAAAGCAATCTTTGACAATATGTAGCTCTTTTATTGCTGTTTTTTATTTATTTATTTATTTTTTATTAGATGATGGCGGGTCGAAAGGATTGAAACGAAGTTGGTGCGGATGAGAAAGCTATCCACCAAGTATTACGTTCTTTATCATCATTTTTTTATTATATACAAATCATTTATATTTAACAACCACAATTATATGCATCCATTGAGAAAGGCGAAGAAACTTTTCACTTTTTAGCTATTTATTTTTCAAATGAGATTAAATTTACTAAATTCGCCTCTTTGAATGTATATGTGATTTTTTTATTATTCGCGTAAGATTTTTCTAATCATTAAACAATAACATGGTTTCACGGTTAAACTTGAAATATTTCTATGTTGGTGTTATGAAAAAATATTGGTGACGGCTATCCTATTTATATGTTTGAATTTAATAAAATATGTGATAATAATAAAAAGCAAGAGGCTTGCTTACATTGCATTCTCAGTTATAAATTGGTTAATAAAAAAACCATACTAGTCGGTAGCAATCTTTATCATGCTAATCAAACATTAAAACCTCCGTCCGTTTGTTTGGGGAAAAGATTTTATAAATGGTAAGTGTTTATCACGTGGTAAAGGTATCTACTGTACATAGATCATAAATAAAAAATTATCTCGGAAAATTTTTTTTTTTTTGAAAAAAATCCTTAACAATGGTTTTTGTTAGCTATTTCATCTCTTCTCCTCTTATGCTCAAGCTTTAGCAAGGCGGAGAAGAGATTGGATTGAAATTTGTAAAACCTCGGATTTCTAAAAAGAGAGGGTTTTCCAAAAAAATGATAACGCAGCGTAGTACAGATTCCAACTAATTTCTTGTTTTTAAACGAAAATGTAACGGTGAGCTCCGTAAAACACAAAATAGCATTGTAGAACGACGATATTCTTTGAATGGTGCATTGATCGAGTAGTCCAATAAATTACCACGAAAACGTATAAATAGACCTGCTACCTCCACTCGTGGACCAAAAAAAAAAAACGGTGCGTCGATTTTGCTTTTTACGTTGCGTTCGAAATTGAGGGTCGAGACACATAGTGCCGAAACGGCATTCTACGATTTGCTTTACATATTACGCTCAAATACAAAGGTTGAGAGACCGTCCTGCATAAGGAAAGGATTTTCACAATTGATTTCAATTTTTTTTATACAGTTTAAAATACTTTTACAAGAATATTACGTAGCCCATTCTTGCAATAAATCGTGTGTAAATAATTTACACAAACTTGAAGCTTTACACTTTGTTGTTTTCATATCTTTTGGATCCCTTTGAATCCTACAACTTAATACAATTTACTCGAAGAAAAAATGCCTGAAATTAACGTTGCACAGAATGTAAAACCACTGAATCAGCTAAATTTCGTCAACTGAAAGGCAATAAATGGAAAGAAGCCGAGAACAACAACTTAGTGAAGGTAACGTGGACAGAAGGTGTTGTTTTATGTAACATTTGTTATATGAATTTTGTAGAAAATATTTTTAAAAAAGGACTAGGAGAGTAAAAACCACAAATGAGGAAGGGGAAGAGGAAGAGGTAAACAAAATATTCAAAAAGTGCATTCACGTTGAATGTTAACGATTATCATAGCATTCACGTCCAGAGACAATCTGATATTATCACTATAGCACGAAATTAGAATATCCTTTAATCACTAAAACTTCATCTAATTGTATTAATTGCCTTCTTTAGTTTACGAAATAACCGATCTTCACCTTCCAAGAGGTTCTGTTGCTTCTAGGAAGCATCTACAAATATTTTTTGCAATTACGTATATTGTGATTACACTAGCTATACTAATTTGAATAATCGTATTGTGCTCACATGTGGACATGGTTATCACAATCATTGCCTACAAAAGTGCCAATCTAAATGTTTGATACCTTGGACTATTTTCATCGAAATCAAAGAAAATGTCAATGCACTAAAAGAAAGTATGACGAAAAAATAACGAAAATCCAGTTGGTGATGATCTGGGTAATGTTGAATCAGCAATAGATGATGCAGCAACAATGGAAATTTTATTAGAACATCCAAAAAAAAATTTTTTTGGTTGTAAATTTTTTATTTTATTAAATAAACTTGTTTGATTTTTTCATACATTGTTCATGTTTTGTCTTGATCGTATATCTTAATTGGTCATTCATCGACATTCATTAGATTAAGGTTATTTTTGATTACATCGAGAGATATGGTCAAGAGAAGAGTTGGGAAGAGAGTTATTCTTCAACCAAATCGAAAACCAACCCTTTAAATACATTTCCGAGTAGTACAATTTAATTTATTAGACTATTTCAAAGGTTTATCGCATGGTTGCTTCCAACTTCTTAAATTCGAACCATTTGTTAACGAAACAATTGTTGGTGACGTGGTTGTTGGCAAAATGAATCAAACCCATATTAAATGTTTTTATTAACATTTTTACGTTATCAAATTCACGATTTTGATTGGTCGATCAACAATCGCATGGGTTAAAATCGTGTGTTACCAGAATGGTCTCTCTTGTTGGTTGAGACCCTACATTTTTGTTTATTCATTATTTATTTATTCGTTTTTCACTTAGTTATTTTAATGAATAAAGCGTTAATAATGATTAAAAGCCCAAACCCATTTGAGAAATAGATAGTTCGTCTTTCTTGACGGATGTACTCAATACATGATCAGTGAAACAACGAAAAGAAGCGGTTGAATATAAATGATTGATTGATTCACGCGTAATGATTATAATAAAGAAAATATAACGTTTAAGATTCGATGCATCTACAAACAAAATATATTATTCACGACATTGACATCTGTTTCTCAAGCAGTCAAAATCAAAAGATAAAATGTTTAACGACTCCCAGGAAGGGAAACACAGATTAGGATTAGCCAATCAGAATCCCGTATTCAAGTAAGCCACCAAAATTTAAAAAAAAATTATTTTTATTCCTACCCTATCAATGAAAGAATCTTTTAAACAAACGTTATAACAAAAAAATCAATAACAACATTCAGACCCTGATAATCAATTGGATTAAGTTTAAAATTAGAAGATTGGAATTTTATAACATAAACTATTACTATTGAAATAACACTTTTATTAGATTTGATAAATTATTCATTGGTTCCACATGCATAATATCAATCAAAGCTCGTACATTTCTTTTAAACCTTTTTTATTTAAGAAATTTAATCTTTTATATTCATTTACAACATTTTAAATCTACTTTCAAGCAGTCAAAATAAAAAGATAAAATGTTTAACGACCTTCAGGAAGATAGAGAAGCTTGACTCAACGCAACAGAGTTTTGTGAAATACAGATTAGTATTAGCCAATCAGAATTCTGTACCAAGCAAGCCATTCAAAAATTAATTTTCATTCTATCGATACATTGAAAAAGATATAATAATAATGTTTCAGGCCCTGATAATCAATTGTTCATCTGATGATAATTACTACACTAGAATTACTTGACCCTGGAACATAAAGTACACAATTATTCGAATCCCTAATCGATTATTTTATCTACTACTATCTCGATCATGTATCACGTTATTAATGTTAATATGAGAAATATTCGAGTAAATGTGTAGGAACTGAATTTGTATTCAAAATTATAAAAAGTAAATATATATTTATATGTTTTTTGTGAGCTTTTTATATTTTATTAACCTTTAAGGCAATTTCATTTACGTAATTTTTGACTTAATGGAGCGAATTTGACGTAATAGTTTTACATTTTATTTCGAATTGCCATGAATATTATTATTATGTTATCACGAAAAAAAAGGAAAAGTCATGAGTATCCGTTCATTTTTTTAATTCTAACTATTAATTTTGAATAAATATTGGATATGCTAATTTAAAAAAGAATAACATGTACATGTAATAAATTAGTGATGAAATTACTAGTCGAATTATTATTTTTTGTTATTTTTATTGCATATCCCATCTGAATATTCAGAAGATACATTCACCTTTGTCTTACAGATTCTATAATCGTCATATGATCCTTTGTCTACTTTCATTTATTTCAACTTTTCTTTTTATATTTAATAACTATTGGCCGAATTATCATCGCCATCGTCAATTATTATTGCATTGTTGCTATTCAAGAAAGATTTCAAATTTAACAAACGAAATATATAGTAGTAAAATGAAATATAATATATTCATGTGGATAGTTTAATATTATTGTGTGTCTATACATGCATTATTGCAATAACGTCAAAAAATCGAGAACGGTTGTTAAAATATTGCCACTTATCTAAACTCAGAAACCATTCTGATTTAATATTTATTATATATTATATTTTTGAATGGTCATAAATATTTCCATTAGAATATTATTTTCGAATATCGAGTGATGATAATTATAAATATCATTTATTTTATCAGAACCTCTACCTCTGGTTTAATTATGGCGAAACCATATTAAATCTTACTAGCAAAAACTATGGGAAAAGTCAGCTATATTTTCGACAGTTTCGGCATTTTGGCAAGTTACAAAACTAAGGGTTGGAGGAAAATGTGTGTGATAACCTGTTAGGAATGGCCTCTTTGTCTCATCCACTATATTAATATGGATATTTATGATAATCTCTAAATATATTTATGGTTATTTGTTAATGAAGGTCAAGAACATAAACCTCATTAATTATTGATTTTGCTGAATCTAAGTTGTATTGGTTCTTATTTGACTATGTATGTTTTCAACATAATAGTCATTAAAATTTTAAAAGGTTGTTTTTGTTTATTAACTCACTAAATGGATGAGTTCTCTCTCCAGTAAAAATAATCTGATAAGAATACTAGAGGTGCTTTGTTCTTTTGCAAAGCTCCAGACATGAAATAATGTATAGTATTTTAATCTTTTGAGATCTACTCTATTTGTTTAATCCGTCTCGGCTGTATAGAAATCTATTAAGAAGATTTCGAATGCAAATATAATAAATAAATAAAAATTTTTTTAATTAAATCTTTATATTATTTCATGTTCACGTGATATATACATTTGGCTAAAAAAAATGTTCTTTTAGAAAAAAAAATTTTTTTTTTGAATAAAATTTTAAAGATGGAAAAACATCATGACGATACTTCTACCGACAAAAATTATGAATATTCAAAAGAAAGAGAAGAAAAATATGGGAAATGTCCAACCTGCAATAGATATAATACTTATTATTCATGGTGTCAATCATGTGATCCGAAGCTATTAACTGAAGGATGGACTAGTGGCAATGAAACATTAGATGAGTTGATTAAAAGTACACAGCTTGAAACAATTCAATATGATAATGATTATTATCTTCAATGGATTCCTTATAATGATTTAACAAATATTGAAAAGATAGGTGAAGGTGGGTTTGCAACTATA